AGATTTATAAAAAAAACATATAAAACATACAGAAGTTTTATATAAGACCAGAATTCCTTATACGAACGTTAAAGAAATTAAATATACAATACATATTACATTTAATGAATTTTAAAAGTGAAAAAAGAAAATAACATTTACATTTCATGTGAAAAAAAGACAAATAAAAAAAAATGTAAACGAGAAGAAACAGAGAGAAAGCGTATCCTAATTATCAAAAATGTAAAGTACATAAATATTTTATAACAATTTTACGTAGGATTATCAAAATATGTATATGATTCCATTATTTACTATTTGTGTGATCAATTTTAGTTTTGTTTCATTAATTATAGTATAAATTGTAACAAGTATCTTTAAAAGGTTGAATTGGTCGTCGAACTTTAAACTTGTTTATCAATAGTTACCGTTTCTTCAAATTTCAACGAGTTTTCTATTGAAAAACCTTTACCTACAGAAAACTCGCAGAAGTAAAGGTTGGGTGAAGTTATCAGAATTCTATAAATAATAATATAAGGTAACATGCCGTATAGAGGAAAGTTATTTGAAACCACAACTATGAAATTGTGTTTTGTAACAGCTAATAAGCATTTTTATTTTATACTAGCATTGCCCGCGACTCCACCCACGTTCAGTGACCAAAAACCAAATTCTTAGGTTTTACATATTAGTATACTCTTACATTGCAGTTTTTCTATCATTCTTAGAAATGAGACATTTTACCGCGGTAAAAAGTATCATATATGTTGACCCGGATAACCAGCTATCATTATACCAAATTTCATCAAAATCCCTCCTGTGTTTTTTCTGTGATGCGGTAACAGACAGACAGACTGACAGACAGACAAAAATTCTAAAAACTATAGATTCGGCCTCTGTATCGATAAGAATATCTATTGCAATAAGATTTTCCAAAAAATATTTAATGTACAGTTTCGGCTTAGTTACAATTTCATTATATGTATAGATTTATCAATGTGCATCATTGATTTGTTGATAATAAATAAAAAAATACATAGTAACACAGAGCACTAATATCGAGACTATATTGATAATAATTCTACAGTTTGATCTGATATTGATTAATTAAAAGACGACAAAGGAAAATGTCAATAAAAGAATCAATATTAACGTTAGAAAGGATCTCCCATTATAAAGAACTAGCGGCTCACCCTCGCTTCGCTCGGGTTCGTCGCTAGGTACGTTTTAAATAGATATAAATAGTTATTAACCAGCGTTAGCCATACAAATTTTTTTTTATCGTAAATTTTTCTGATGTTTTAATATTTATTATCCTATTCCGGACTAACTAAGAAATCCAAAAATTCAAATATCTATAGCCGTTCTTGAGTTTTATGTCACGTCACAACGGACACGCAATCGAACGGGATAAAAAGTATCCTATATCCGTCTCCTGGTTCTAAACTACCTCCCCACTAATTTTCAGCCAAATCGGTTCAGCAGTTCTTGAGTTATAAATAGTGTAACTAACACGACTTTCTTTTATATATATATATATATATATATATATATATATATATATATATATATATATATATATATAAGATTTAAAAGTGCAAATTAATTAATATCATGTAAAGTAAAAAACAATTTATAAATTCATTTTAAATTACATAGTAGGTACATAATAAAAAAAAGTTGTAAAAATTATATTATAAAATAATTTTCAATATGGAATCCCAAGTCTAATACAAGAGATCGAACTTCAAAGTAGCCAGTATTGAAATCAGTTATTTTTTGTTTTAGGACCTAATATACGAAATTGCTTGCTTTGACAGATAACTAAAACAAATCACTGAGCTCAAAAGGTTCCAAATATGTAAAAAAATATGAATGAAAAGTTTTAACTACATATTACTTTCAGCTGCAAAATTTTTCATTTTTGTTCTTATATTCAGGTTCAATTAATATACATTTTAACAGAGACTTAAAAAACGTTTTATAAATACTTTTTAACTAATACTTAAAACTTCAAAATTACTTTGTAAGTAATTATTTTTACTCTTTGTGAATTATATGGGACCACCCTTAAGGTATAGCTTAGATTCTATAGGTATGTTTTATGTACTAGTATTGCCCGCGGCTCCGCTCGCGTGTAAAAAGTAATCTATATGTTGACCCAGATAACCAGCTATCATCATACCAAATTTCATCAAAATCCCTCCAGTGTTTTTCTGTGATGTGGTAACAGATAGACAGACAGACACAGACAGATCACAGACAGACAGACAGACAGACAGACAAACAAAAATTCTAAAAACTATAGATTCGGCCTCTGTATGGATAATAATGTTTATTTCAATAAGATTTTCAAAAAAATATTTAACGTACAGATTCAGGTTAGTTACAATTTTATTATATGTATAGATAATAAGCAAAGACAAAACAGTTCGTTGCCATTTTCTCCTCTATTATTCTGCTGATTTTCTTTTTTTGTTTTGTAGCTATTGATGAGCTTTAATGTTACTAATTAAAAAAATCAGTAATAATTACTAGTATGTTAAAAAAATGTATGTATGTATTTGTATTCAGCCCTTTTTAACGTCCCACTGCTGGGCACGGACCTCCCTTCAATACGATCGGGATCAGGCCATAGCCCACCACGCTGGGCATGTGCGGGTTGGCGCTACACATGTCTTTAGAAAACTTGCTAGGTTCGTTCAGACATGCAGGTTTCCTCACGATGTTTTCCTTCACCGTAAGACAAGTTGTAATCAGGTTACAAATGATTCACACATAAAATATCAGAAGTGCGAGACCCGGGATTTGAACCCGCTTCACTCGGTTTCTCAAGCGAGCGCGTTACCACTGGGTTACCACTGCCTTGAAAACTTGTCTGGTTTATAAAAGAACTTATAAGAATTAATCTACAATAAGAGAAGATATTGCGTAAAGTACACACGGAAAGGTTTCTTGAGTCGTTACAAAGTTGTTTTGGAATTTGCTTTCATTATAATTTTCACATCTTACAATAACACTTCATATTGTGGGCCCCATTGTTCAGTTTCAAAGGGCTTTTAAATCTGATATAATTTGATGTTGAAGAATTCATTGTATAATTTATACCTTTATTTATAAACATATTTTATAATAAAACCATAATATATGGTTTGTAGTTTATCATATAAAACATAATATTCTATTAAACTTTTGTCAACTTTTATCATTTCATGCTGAATATTTTATATTTTATATTCCTTTGTATCTTTATTTGATACACAGTAAACCTAACATAATCTTTTTCTAGTGTTGAGTACACTTAGTGTGTTCTTCTAAACCATTAAGATTGGCTAGGATGGATGGAAAGCGTGCGAATTTAGGTATTTCCTCCGTATTATTAAAACTAATACAGATTTTGAAAATGTAACGTGTATACGTTATAGAAAACGTATAGTTTTGTTATTATTAAAAAACTGATGAACTTCCTTGAATTGTTTGCGCCGCACTAAGGGTTTATTTTGTTATTTAGAGATCATTTTGGATTTTTTTCTATCGAGGAAACTACAAGTAATCGTGTTTCTAAAGTATACGATTTATAGAACATATCCTTAAATATCCTACATATTAATTACATAATTAAAGTTTGAGTAATAACAATACAGCAAGGGATTAAACGAACGCAATTGTTTCGTAATTTCCTCGGCGCGTCCTTAATGAACCCAACCTTATAAAAAACCGACATCAAAAAACACTAAAATGTAAAAAATAACTGATTGGTAGTTTTAATTTATTATAGATACCTAATCAGATAGTTTCGAAGTCGGTGCCAGCCGATACAAAATAAAGGACCAATATGTCATTTTTTACTTTTTAGTGTTTTTTCGAAGTCGTTTTTGTTAATATTTTTTATTTTTTTTGGTAGTAAAGTAATAAGAAAATGTTTTAATAAAATTTTCGCTTAACCCGTCTTAGTTAGTTTGATGGCAATTTTTGTATGAAGACTGACACTAAACAATCAGGCTTTAAAATCCAATTCTAACGTATCGGGTTAGTCAAATCAAACAAAATAAGCCCAAACTCAAAATGTCTCCTGTTAGCTGTTGAAGAGTTCCACCTTTGCACATTCTGGCCTTACCATCAGATCAGGTCATGATACTGAATCATGCTTTATTATCAACGGCAATAAAAACACTTATAAAGTTTCAAGTTAATATGACAATAATTAGAAGTAGGTAAAATTTTCGTTAGCTATTTTTCCATCCTTAAGGCGTGGTATATATATATTTTTTTCAAATTTAAATAGGACCAAATTGGAAGTATACACTTTCAAAAAAAAACAATAATTGTCCGAATCGGTTAATAAATGACGGAGTACTGAGGTAACACACATAAAAAAATATACAGTCGAATTGAGAACCACCTCCTTTTTGAAGTCGGTTGAAAATACATTTAAATTTTTACTTCTATGTATATCAGTGTACCTCACACCGACTTTAAATCACTTTATGGTTATAGTTTTATACTTACAGTAATATTATTAAGGTAGCTGCAAGGACACTGTCTGCCTTTTGCATACGATATTTTTTTACAAAAAAACATAATTAAATTAAAACCAAAATTTCCTGCATGAATATTTAAAATAAACACTTAATTTGAATAAAATACACAACTGGTTCACATGCTAATAAAATAATTAATACAATATTAGAGGACAAGGTCGTGTGACGTCACGGAATTATTCTTAGAAGCGCAACTTTAAAGTTTCATAACTTTTTCATATGTTGAGATATTTAAATATTTCTTTCATATTTTTGTTATATTCTATTTCAAATTTTATAATTAATAAAAAAATGGGAAACTTCTCAATTGGAAGTTACAAGGAAAATCGAGAAAATCGGAAATAGCTGAACATGCTTTTTTCTATATAATTTTTGTAATCATAAAAAAATATTAAAATTCATTAGCTTATAATACTAATGGTAAAAATAGATTGCTATTTTTAGTTAGGAACAATAATGATACAATTAAATATTGTTTTATACAGTGCCAAGATGTTCAAGTTTTATCATATCGGAACCCATTTCACCTATCATAATCGATGGGCCGTTTGTATTACCACTTGTTAGCGTGGGCATCACGCTGGCATCTATAACACGTAACCTTATGGCTCCGTGAATCTTCAAGAAATTATTTACTACTGCATTTTCTGGGTTTGGACCCATTTTTGCAGTACCTACAGGATGAAATACTGTAACACATACGTGTCTTGAGAAACATTTCCAATATTCATCGCTTTGAAAACTATATTCATTACATTGTGTTACATTGACCCTATGAACGTATGCATTTATAGATTGAAAATAAGGTGAGTCTACTATTTTAGTAAGCATTTTTATTCCATCTGCTGTGGCTTGTAAATCCCTTTCGTCTTCAAAGTAATTATAATTGATAATTGGCTTGTCATAAGGATTGGACGACTTAAGATATAATGTACCTCTAGAAAAAGGATGTAAAAGGTGGAAGGCAAACAAATATAAAGCTTTTCTTGAATTTGGCTCCAAATAAGAATTTAAAACTTCGTCATTATAATCTGGAAAATGAATCCTAAACGTTGAAGAGTTCTTCCATAAAATTGTGAGATGATTTTGAAATTCCGGATATTCCATATCTTTGTTACGAGAATAAAATGAAGATACGTCGGCAAAACAATTCTGTGCAAGCAGTCCGCTTTTATCATACATATATTTCGCAACTTCAAATAATCGAGCTTCATGATTTTCTAATCCAGGTTCATCTGCGTAAATGGGAATAGGAATATAATTATGATCTTGTAAATTGCTGCCAACTCCAGGTAAGTTAATTTTGCACGGAATATTGTTAGCTTCTAAATGCTCTCGAGGTCCTATTCCAGAGAGCATAAGTAATTGTGGTGTATTTATAGCTCCGCTACTTATAATTACTTCGTGACTAGCATAAAATATTTTTTGTTCTCTATTTATATCGACTTCGACACCATATGCTTCTAAATTTTCATTGAGGAGAATTTTGGTTACAAAAGCGCCAGTTATCACTTTTAAATTTTTTTTAGGATCTACAGATTTTATGTAGGCTGTATACGAACTACATCTTTCACCATTTGCTGCTGTTACTCTCATTTTTCCTGAAATACCGTAGCCGTCAAATTTCGCAGAATTAATATCTTTCACATTTTTAAATCCAATATAATCCCAAGATTCTAAAACTTTCTCAGTTATATCTCTATATGTACTATTAAAACTATTTATGACTAAATGACCGTTATTACCATAGAATTCATGAATATCTGGATCTTGCAATAAATTCATATCCTGCAAATTTTCTGCTTTTCTGAAGTAAAAATTGACGTTTTCTGGTGTCCAACTAGGGTTTCCTTCTTCTTCCCAAGCTTTAAAGTCGCTATCTTTTCCTCTTACGTACATCATTGCATTAATTGAACTTCCGCCACCTAGCATTTTCCCTCGTGGCCAGTGAACAGATCCATCTTTTAATGCTTGATGGTTTATACCATTATTCTCAGTGACGTATTGCCAATCATAACTGGTACCAATCATATTGTTATGTAAGCCAGGTATCTATAACAATAAAAATTTGTTCATATAAAAAAATACTTAGTCAAACTTGGACGTTGAATTATTCTTTAAAAATTCTAATAAAGATTCTCCAAACATAAAGGTCTTTTTATTCGTAAGTACTAAATCACTGAAAAATAATACTAAAAAAGTCACGTTTGGATATAAAATAGAATGGATAAGTGATGTTTATAGAATGTGGGTTAAATGAAAATACTCTTGCAAGAAACAAGGCATGAGTATAATAAGCCAATCATAACCGTAATTATATAAGCAAAAATTATCAATACGAGTATGTGTTAATGTACACTATATTTTAAAAGATGAGAAAGAAAAGAACTAATCTCGCTGTAATTTACTAAAGAAAATTGATACTTGCATCAGATTCTATTGGTGGTTTAGGACCTGCTTCCAGAAGTAATACATTCCAGTGTTCTACTTCACTAAGACGACTGGCTACCACACTACCAGCAGATCCCCCACCGACGACTATGAAATTGTATGTTTCGTTGTCTGAAAGGGAAACCAATTTTGTTATAATTATGTGCATGAGACAAAGCTGCTATAATACATGCTATGATACAGCGCAACAGAGTAGTAAGTTTTTGTTACTTATAAACTTCCGTCTTTATGATTTTTTTGTGGTAGGTTATTCGAAAATTTTGTCAAATATAAAATTCAAAACCTAGCTAGTATACCTGACTGTTGTTTAAAATTACGAAAATGAATCAATAGTAAAAGTCATATAAATTTTAATAGTTGAGACAAACATAGGATTAAAATGGAAAAAGCTAGCAAAAAAATTCTAACCTTCAAAGTTGTTAGCAGTATGTTCTGGTACGAAACATTGCGTGGCAGCTAAAAAGTTAATGACTGATGCAAAAAGTTGTGGAGCTACTCCCGTAGTTGTTGAGCAACAGCTATCGCAATTCCTATTTAAAAATATAAAGTTCAAATAAATTACTCATTCAGCCTTACGTAAAACTCTGTTTTTTTACTATTTTTTCCCCTTATATTAATATTATACAGAGGAAAGATTTTTTTTGTTTGTTTGTATAGGTTCCGAAACTACTGAACGATTTAGATGAAATTTGGTAGAAAGATAGTTGAGATCCTGGGAAGGACATAGAATAATTTTTAACCCGGAAATCATCCCTTAAGGGAGTGAAAATGGGGATGAAAGTGTTTGGAGAAGCAACCTAAGGACGAATCCGAGCGAAGCAAGGGTGAGTAGCGACTATAAAATATCGAAAATATCAGTATAATTAGCGAGTTATACTGATATTTTATTTATAAATTACGATTATATAAAATTATTGGCTTTGATATTGGAGTTGATGTTTAATATTCAATAAAGCTTTAATTGTTGATGCATAAATAAACGATTATAATAATTCATATTATACCAGCTTCATTGCACACCGTAAGATTGAGAAAAATGGTGGTGATTGGAAATGACACAAATCTTCCCCTTTAATCTCTTAATATTGTGTTTTTCGCAGGCGAATGGGCGGACCTATGGACGGACGGTCGGACAGACAAACGTGCAATATTTCTAAAAACTGTAAATTCGGCCTCTGTATCAATAATAATGACTATTTCAATAAGATTTGCCAAAAAATATTTAATATACATAATCGGCTTAGTTCAAATTTTATTATATGCAATGATAATTAATAATTAATATCATTTATTTTTACAAAATATTAATTATTATAAAACCTCTTCGTAATTTAATCATAATATACTGTCATTACTAATGGTAGGTATACACAACACAGTTAATCTTAAAATGACTTTATGAGGTTTCATACTTGAGAACTGGACAGCATATTAATTTAACACTGAGTGATCTGCATTAAATAAAGCCTGTGAAAAAAATTTCAAGAAAATTTTGATTATTTAAAAAAGTAAGTATGATAAGAGAGAGATAAGAGAAGAGATTAAAGAAGATATTTATTGTGGAAAAATAAAGGTTTCCGTAATTAACAGTTGGTGTTACACGTGAAGTGTTAATTTTAACATACTTTATAATATCATGCTTTATTTAAGAAATAAAAAAAATATATTTTTCTTTGTTGTTCTCTTAATTGTTAATCTAACTAAAATATAAATTTATTTATTTAAGATACATATAAATTTACTTAAGATGCAAGACGAGCTACAAGTTAAATAGAGTGAAAAAGTGTTTTATATATTTTTCCACTGTATTAATAATTATGAATTATAGCTTTATTAAAAACTAGCGACTCACCCTTGCTTTAAACTCAAACTATTTTCTTACCAAATTTCATCTAAATCGGTTTGGTAGATTCAAAGATTACGCCCTACAACGTCACAAACTCACAATTCACAAACTCACAAACTAAACAAATCACCCCAATCATTACCAAATCAATTACTATTAATCACTAAAAAAATTGAGAGAAAATAATCAACTTTATTATAAGAAACATTTTTTAAACTTAAATTATAATAACAATGAAGCTTATTAATTATTTCAATAGATAAACACTATTAAATAGTCAAAATTACATTTGATTTTTTAATTAATTATGTTATGGATTATATCTAAATGACACAAAATAAACCACTTACATGGACATTTTGAGGTATGAATTTAAGCGAAGCAGATCAGCAACTGCAAATTTATAGCTTAGTTTTTCATTTATGTATTATGTCTAAATCACACAGTAATTATCATACAATAAGAGTAGAGTGACTTTGTTATTATATTATTTAGAGAGAAAAAAAGCGGTAGAATTAAAACTTTCAGAAAAATTACTTATGAGAGAATGAGATGAATATAGATTATCAGGAGTAGGATACAGATTATAAGGTTTATTTTTTTATAATATTTTTGCCAAGTTTAAAAGTTATTTTACATTTTATTTGACATAAATATACATTACATAGGTATTATTTAGTAATTAATTTTATTAATTTTCACTTCCGGTGTAATGTATTCTATCTCAAATAACAACGGTTACCATGGCAACATGGCAATGTATTCTATCTCATTCTCTCGCCGGCTTAATCCTATATATTTATGTGATGGTCCCTTGTTAGCGTTGCATTTCCGTTTCATCGAGTTTCAAATCACAACAATTCTAAAGTATCACTTCAATAAGGAGAGCCGGATATGTGGCCTGGAACATACATACTCGTATTAATGTGCAAATGGGTACAATTTTACTATAAAAATAGTTTCAAAAAGATAATAAGTACTAAATAAATAAGGGATGTAATTTTTCTATGCAAGTGATTTTACGGAAAAACATATAAAAATAACAAGTTTTTTAATTCCAAAGTTCGACCGACTTTATAATGACTTTTCAAGTAATTATTCCATAGCAGGTGATTTTTTAACTTTCATGAACAATTCTATCAAATAAAAATTATTAAAATCGTTTCACAACATATTTAAGATTTATCGTGAAATTTCAATCATGCAATTGCAAAAAAATGTGGAAAAATTGATAAATTTTTAATTATTTTATGCAAAAAAACGCTTTAAAATCTGCTTTCACCGTGCGCCGTTATTTTGAAAATAAAATCAAACCGACGCGCGACGGCGGGTGGCTAATGCCAGTTTCTATAGAAGTATAGTCGAACCACTTTTGTACATTGACAATGGATAGACTTATTAAGCGCGATGTCCTAATGAGACAGCGCTGATGAAAGAAAAAAACACGATGAGAGAGAAGAAATCTTTATAAAAAAAATACAGAATATAAAAATACAAGCCTGTGGTGCTCTTAAACATTCGAATACACATATAATAATAAAATAGTAAGTAAGTAAGCGAAATCTGTACATGGCATATTTTTTAAAAACAATAATTACTACGTATAGACCCAAAGACAATAGTTGTTAAATTTTTTGTTGAATATCTTTTTGTCTGTTTGTCTGTATAACTGTTTGCTTTTCACTCAAAAAGTACTAGACAGATTTTAGTAAAATTTTCTGTATTATTCAAATCAACATTTAGAATATCTTTTACTACAGTGAAAGCTCTCGTTTCCCACAGGAAAACACAATAACTGATCGGACGAGTTGTCTTTCATACGAAAATTTCAATGATTTATAACACAAAAACTTTTGTAGCAGGGTCATAATTAACATATTTAATAACTAGCGGTTCACCCTCGTTTCGCTCGGGTTTGGCTCTAGACAAACAAAAACAAATCTACCCCACTACTATAATTTAATCTATCTCATTTTTCTGGGATAAAATGTAGCCTATTTGTTATTCTGATGTATGAACTATATTATTGTTAAGTTTCATTAAAATCCAATTAATAGTTTGGTGTTTAAGCTGTATAAGTTACTATAGTTTTTTAACTATCCCACGGGAACTCTTTAATTTTCCGGGATGAAAAGTATCTAAAATGTTGACCAGGGACATAAGGTATCACCGTGCAAAAATTCATTTAAATCGGTCCAACAGTTTCTGAGATTAGCCCGTACAAATAGACAAACAGACAGAGAAACAAAAAAATTAAATAAAATCTGGATTTGTTTTACTTCTCTTCTTACATCCTCCTGTCTCGGTTCATGTCATCACTCGGTTTCTAGCATTTTTTTTCTATGTACATTCGACCTCTACAGTTTTATTATATGTATAGATTTAGTGCGGTAAAATATCTCATTTTCATTCCTCTGTCTGTTTCTACGCTACTTACTTCTTTTAAACCACGCAACGGATTTTGATACAGTTTTCACTAATAGAATAAACGCTAAACGATGAAGGTTTGCGTCTATAATTTGGAAATGTTTTGTATAAGATGGTTGAACTACGACGATGTTCTGTCAAAAAAGATTGTTTTCTAATGCTGATATAGCTAACGCTGGGTAAACCTTAAGAGATACATCAAAACAATGTACTAGAAAATTGTAGGCCTTAAAAAGAACTTAACTTCTAATGTATACAATAACTATTTTTCTTTATATAAAACGAATTTGTCTAAGATAGGTCTGTCCCTAGTTTGTAATATAAGTAGGGAGTTTAATTCTGAAATCGCAAAAAAAATAATTTGGTAGCACAGACGGATGAATGAAAATGTTTTATGTATATAGTTTTTACAATGAGGCCAATTCTATTTTTTTTTAATAATCTTGCTTATTTGATAGTTCGCAAGGTATTTAATTATAATGATAGCGCAATAATGGCACAATCGAAATGATTTGATGATGGATCTAGAAAATGGTTGGTAATAAAACCTCTATAGCGGAGTTCTTTTCACTGCAAATAGCATTTGATTATTAAATTATTACGTGACTGTTATGTTTCCTTTTTTAAAATGAATAAAACGTACAATTCGATGTTAAATTCAATACAAATACTATACAATACTTACAATAAAATATTGAGTTATTGCCGGCGGCTTTTTTTATGCCTCTTTTTCCGATTCCACAAGTTAAAACCTCCTTTGCAAAAAAACCCTTCACTGTTGTGGCTCCACATATTTATAATATTTTTAATAATAAATACAAAGTTAAGAAGCATCCTAACAATAAATTGAAAAAAAATTACTTACCTGGCTGAAAAGTTTAGATTATGATGCGATAGAAGAAATTATAAAAAATGCTATATAATATCTACAAACACACACTCACACACTCACACACACACGCACGCACGCACGCACGCACGCACGCACGCACTCACACACGCACGCCCGCACGCACGCACGCACGCACACACACACACACAGACACAAACACACACTTTTTTTTCAGTTTTTTTTTCTACTAATTTTTTTCTTAATGTTACTAGTTGTTTGTACCTACATATATCATTGTGTTGGCATAAACCTGATATTAATCATATGGGGATGACACTGGCTCCTGCAATACAGTTTTTAACGAGAGCAGGGGCTAGGGAATTCTTTATCACTTGTGTATGTATAAAATTATGTCAATAAAGATTTTTTTTTGTTTTTTATTTGATGAGGTAATGTAGCTAGCTAGCTCCTAAAGTATTCGAGTATGGTCTATGGACCGAGAAATTAAGTCTTTTGACTATGGAAATTAAAACTGAATGTCATTATTATTATTATTATTGTAAAACACAAAAATATTTAACTCTATGTTATCTGTCTCCAAAAATTATTGTTATAAAAAAAATGCTCTTATGAATATATTTTAAGAAAAATATACTTTTATTGTAAAATATATCTTAAGTGTTTATTATTAATCTTAACTGTATATGAAATATTTTGTTTTCGGGAAATCTTATTGAAATAGACATTATTATCGATACAGAGGCCGAATCTATAGTTTTTTAGAATTTTTGTCTTTCTGTCTGTCTGTTACCGCATCACGGAAAAACCACTGGAGGGATTTTGATGAAATTTGGTACGATGATAGCTGGTTATCCGGGTCAACATAGAGGATACTTTTTACTGCGGTAAAATATCTCATTTCTAAGAAAAAATACAAAAACTGCAATGTAAGAGTATACTAATATGTAAAATCTAAGAATTGGTATTTTGATAATCAGTTTTCCGCGGGCAATGCTAGTTATTTATATAAAGTCGAATATCAAATAATCAAAATTCTGTCTAGACGAAGTCTATCATACTAAGTACTGTGTCATAAATTAAACGAGAATGTTTGTTGCTCATTAACATTGCTGTAAGTTGTGAATGGTTGTGCAGAATAGTTTGCATCGTTGATGTAACTGAAAACGTTTATTCTTCGAGCTTCTATAACTAGCAAGGTAGAATTTAGGTGTTTATTTGTCAAAGTATATTTGTTATTATGTTAGTTTTTCGATGAGAAGATTTCGATGAGAAAGGACGATATGAATAAATAAAAATAAGAGAAATTACTCCTAATTGACTCTAAGATGTTGGTGCTAAAGTTACTAACAAAATGATGAATGAAATGGAATGAAAAAAAATGAATGAATAATCGTTTTAATAATATTATTTTAGTGTGGAATTTTCTAAATCTTTCGCCTTTTTCCGTAACATATAAAAAAGTCTATTTCCTTTCACATTTACCTTTTTTTATGTGTATGGTAAATATTCTGAATTGCTTCTTTGATTTCAACCATAACCATAAATACTCTATGTATTATTATCAATACAAGACCATCTATACGTATGTATAATAAAATTCTGAGTCGAATCTGTACATGTAAAATTTTTTTCGAAAATCTTATTGAAATAGTCATTATTTCATTTTTAAAGTATATATTATGCTAGAGCCTCTGTTTACATATTTAAGATCTTTTTGTAAATATTTCCTGAAATAAATGAATAAATAAATAAAATAAATAAAATTATTATCGATACAGAGGCCAAATCTATAGTTTTTACAATTTTAGTCTGCCTGTCTGTGACCGCATCACGAAAAAACTACTGAACAGATTTTGATGAAATTTGGTACGATGATAGCTGGTTATCCAGGTCAACATATAGGGTATTTTTACTATGGGAAAATAGCTTATCTTAACGCTTAAATTTATCATAAAATCAGGCATTAAAATATTATTAAACGAAATTGATAGAAATAACTCTCATATCCTATTCTGTATAATATATTTTACATTTTCGAGTGATTTTAAACTTTCTAAATATGATGTGAAAATTTAATT